GAGGACTTAATATTTATTAAAAGTTTATAATTTTATAGCAGATTATTTGTTTAATTTTTTAATTATGAAATTATAATATAATTAAGGCACGAATTACAAAACAAAAATATATAATTATGATTTTAATTTTTATATTAAAATTGTTTAAAAATAGCAAAACTTAACAAATAATAAGTTATTTAATAACTAATTAACTATTTTCTGTGTTAAGCACCTAAATGCTAGCGATTTGTTAAGACTTATCTTAAGTAGAAAAGTACAACAAAAGTGTTTGCACTTTGAAAATATTGTCTTTAGTTTTAATCCCATGTTAAGTATTTCTGGTTTACATCGAAATCACAGCATTTTATATCCTAAATAGAGGTAAAAACTAAGATCATGAAAAAGTTATATATAACTTATTTAATGCCTTAAAGAATAACTAGTTAAGTTTACTTAAGTATGCAATAAAATATAAAAATTTATACCTTTTTCAATAAGTTTCCATATGATATGAATGTCATTTTCAAAACTATGCCTCCAGTTATACATTCAATAAATTTTTGCCTCAAATATTCATTTAAAGATTAAATCTATTCCCAACGAAAATGGCATACATTTGATTGAATTTATTTTTTTCTTTCGCAATATTTTTAGCATAACGTCAAACGTTTTACTCGTAATACGAGTCTCGTATACAGTAATCATATCACGAGAAAAAAAATTAAATTATTTTATTTTAGACTAAAATTTTTAGTATTCATTGATTTTTATTACAAAAATCTTATTTGATTTATATATGAATTCTACTATAAATTCAATTCCTATTAAGAATTTTAAAGAATATATTGTTTGTGTTATCTGAGGTCTAAGTTAGTAATATCCATGGTTTATGCCTTAAAAATAATTAAATTCATATTTTTACTAGTTTGCTATTTAATTTTATAGTCTACAGTGTACACTAATTTGTGCTTTATTAAATGGTTAATATCATATTAAAATAAAACTAAAAATATTCCTCAACTTTAAGTAACAAATAAAAACTTATTGTTTTAAGACTTATGAAAATGATGAAACTTAAGTTTTATGACAACTTTCATACATTCAAAAACACAAAGCCATTACTTTTAGTGTGATTATTATATTTTATTAAATGTGGGTCTCATTTAACGCTTATTTCTATTTATTGTGTTTAAATAAATTAATCCCTTTAATCCAATCTTAAGGTTCGCTAAAAAATAATTCAAATTTTATACGAAAGACAATTTGCGACAAATATGACAATGGATTAGATGTTAAGCCAATTGCTAATTTTGGTAATACCCTATTTGTCATCATTTTTGTCTATTTAAATATGCATTCATTGTCTCTGAATTTGTTAAACTTATAAATATTTTATAATTTTTTATTAGTTCCCAGAATCGATATTCAGATTTTTACTCAAACTGAATGCAAAGGAATTAGTTTTGTTAAGCCTAAGAGAAAATATACTTCATATCAAATATATTATAATTAATTAGTCTATATAAATTAATTAGAAATAATTCTGTAGTCCAGTCTCGCTATATATCCATTACATTGATTGCAATTTAAAGATTACATTGCATTATTAGTTTTTGGTAATATTAATCAATATAATTTTAATTTTAAATATATTTAAATTTGATATATTGAAACTACAAACTAAGTTAGCATAAAATCTTTTATTAATAATTTATTAATACATTATAAATATAACTTATATATAAGTATAAATAATGGATGTATATTTTAAATAAAATGAAATCAAACTCAACTACTAACTTTGCTACTTTTAGTAATAAGGTAATAACTTATTTGAATTATACTGTATATCATATTAATATATAGTATTTGGTAATAATAACTCCATTTGTAAATCATAAGATCCACCCAAACAAAAGGTGATCTCTTACTGTAGTCTCATATTAAGAATTAATGAAAAATGAGCCATCAATTTATGCCATATATACAATATATGGACAACTATTCATGAAAATCTAGTCAATTATTTTATTGCAATCAGAATTGAAATAGATTTATATATAATATATATAATATAATATTGTATTTTTACGCCTCTTCTGATAAATTGTGATAAATATTAAAAGGTATTCAAAATATATTCACTAAATATGTTTAACACTGACATAAATTCAGCCATTAATTATTCATACATTAGATATGATATGATATGAATAGTATTGTCCAAAAGCCTGATAACAATGGGTTTTGGCTTTGAAGGTTTCACTAAAATACTTTGTGAATCCATGTCACTAATATAGAGGGATTGGTTCTTAAACCCGGATGTCGAATAAGTGATTAAAATTACCCTAGTCAAAAATTTTAAATTCTAGCAAGTAGTATTTTATAGAACCCCGATCAATTATTAAAAATATGTATGTATTATATTGTTGTGAGTCCACTTATAAGTGATCACCTTATATAGAAATTTTTATTATTAAAGTGATTAAATAGATTTTAGTAGTACTGTAAAGCTATAACAATTTTTAAAAATAAAATATAAATTGTTACAAATCACGTGGCAATTATAATTATTAAATAAAATAATCATTATATTATGAAACAATTTGCTAATTCTTATGACCAAGTTATAACCACATGACTCCAAACCCAGTTAATGGGCCCAGAATATTTATGAATTAATATCAATAACAATAATTTGCAATTAAAATCAATGGCATAATACCCTTTATGGTAATGAGAAAGTTATAATTTTGATTAATTACAGTGTCCAATATTTTAAATTAATTTTGAAATTGTGTTTATTACAATTACAATTTGTAATATTAATTTAATAATGAAATAAATACAACTTTTACATATTGTATTTAAAATAGACTTTGAGTATAGGAAAGTATTTTATTTATAGTTTTATTATACAATAATTAATATTTTTAAAATTTTGTTATTTTTACTGACCTTTCACTTAAAGTTCATAAATGAATGAAAAAACTATGAAAAATATCATGAGTTTACAAATTCATATCACGGGCTTAACGTGTAATACATTAATGACACGAATTTTCATTCATATTATACGCGTTTTTACGAAACAAATAATTAGTTTAATATTAATTTAATGTATATTTAAACGTATATAATATGTGATTAGCATTGGGTGGAGAAGCGAAATACCGTTTTATTAGTGTATTTATTATATCAATCATTGTAACAGAAATAGTATTTCAAATGTCATTTATATTCAAAAATCATCAGTGAATTTCAGATCCTATCAAATGGCAAATGAATTAAATATCAAAATCCTTATCTCTCGTACAAGTATTTTCAGATACCATTCATTCATAGGTTTGCATGTATTTTATATTCAAAACACTTGTACTCTATATGACATCAATACTACATATTATGCATTAGTTTTTCCATTAATTCATATACAGTACTGTACACTACTATTATTTAATTATTAATTTACTAATAATAGTAATTATTATTGCAAATTATAAAACATTATAATTACTAGTTTTTAAATAAATAAGTTTAAAATCAATTTAAGTTTAAATGTGTTCTCATCCAGTATATTACATAATATAGATGAGTAAATAAAATGACAAATATTGATAATTTTAAAATTATTAGATGTTTATAAGAAATATTCAGTGAACTGGAAAAGAGGACAGTTATGTCTCCCAGTCTATAAATATAATTCACATTTATTTGTCTGTAAACACTAAAGAATATTTATTTAAAAAATAAATAATTTAATCATATATAGTTTCAAATAAGTACAAAAGCATAAAATATAGAAATAATCTTTCATTATTTATTATTTATGAAATTCGTGTATTAAATTGGATTTGTATTTATATTGTAGTAATAAAAATATTTTAAGAATAAACGATATTTTTCAATTGTTTTACACTACCAAGTTAATATTTTATATTTGTTCTATTTATATACGACTATCAATAAACTATTTTATTTTTATTTATAATTTATTAATTTAATATTTTTAGTGATTTAAAATGTAGCTAATCAATACATTTAATTATTATTTGGTTATGATTAAAAACATAGTGTTTAATTTTTATCATAATTATTAAGAGATAAAATTTGGTAAAATAATTTTATTATAATTATTATGCTATTTATTGTTATTATTGTAATGGTTTAATTTTAAAAATATTATTAAATAATATAATATATATATAATTTATTCTTGTTTGAATAATTTTCAACATTTGAACAAGATTGTAGTGAATAAATTTGTTTCAGTAATAACTTGTTTGCCATTAATCAACAATAGCTGTCCTTTGAGTATATTTGTGCCCAAAAACAGTATTGTATGTAATATTCAATAGATATAACTATTGTTTATATATTTTACAATACAATTGTGTTCATAGAGTTGAATAGCGATCGCAATAATGCCTTCAGATATAAATCACATCCACTATTGTATTGTAAAGCGTTTTCCATTGAGAATATTGTCGGTAATGAGGGTTTAAAATAAGAACTGAATTTCATTGCATTTTCTATACAGTAATGCCTAATAAAAAGACACAATATATACAGAATATACAGAATATACAGAATATCTGTATATTATTGTATTTTTATACAGTATATTTTCGCTATACATTACAATGCGATTCATTATTAAAAACAATGAGTTAATCTGATTATAATACCTAAATTAAATAGCTAGTCCCGGTATGTTAATTTTAACGTTAATATTAGAATTTAATATATTAATAAATACACATCATGAATTTTATATTATAATTTTAATATATTCACATTGTTTATCTAACAACAATAACTTAAAATATATTTAACAATTAATTAATTAACTAAATATCTTATAAATTTAAACTAAATAACAACATTGCAACATTAACAAAATTACTTGAATACTACTTTGATTTGCGGTATGATATACAGTAAATGACTAAAAAAATTCATTGTTTGCAACATTGAATAAAAATCATTTATGAAATGACTTTCTATTTACTTTTCTCATCGATTGAATTATGATTGCAATCCACGCACTGACACAGACCTGGCTTAGAGCTGCTGCGAGCACCCGTACAATACTCGTCCAACTGGCAGATTGTGTCACAATAGTCATCCAGTTCTTTGCCATTCACGGCCTCCTCCAGTGGTCGCGACTCCGGATTGCTGTGAATGTCTGGTTTCGAGTCTAAAACCAAACACGTGTCATGAATGAAATCCAAAAACATTATTAAGCCATCAAATGTTTTAATCATAAAATTCAAATGTCTCAACAAAAGCATACATTTCGTGTATAACTTATGGCCGACATTACTGAGCGATCGTATGATTAAGATGAGACCGAAACCTGTGATTAAAACGAGTATATATTTTGACATTATTTCTACTTCTCTCTCGAGTTTTGCTTATCTTTGTTCAGAACTTAAGACTCATTTATTATTGCAAATAGTCTTTCAGTGTTTTTTCTTTTCAATAGTTTTTATGTATTTTTATTCAAAATGTGAAACAAATTATCGATTTTTCTCATTGAATAAGAATATGCAAAGAGAGAGAAAAAATTTCCATTATTTTTATTTTTGCAAATAATAAAAACTTGTATATAATATAAAAGTATATTAAAGTCGTTTCTAATATATTATTTCATATATCATTGTATGTAAAAATATTTCTACTTTTATATGAACACGAATGGTGATTCACTGGTAATAATAGCTCACAGAATATTCTTTCAGTTTAAGAATATCTTTGACTTTCGGATTTGCAAATCACAAGAATATAAACAATGTTTTTAAGAATTTCTAAAATCTATTTTACTTATGTATAGTGTGTTGTGGTTTAAAATTGCAGAATTATGTGTGAAAAACAAAAAGTGTAATATTTATTCACACAAAAGTCATATTAAACTACATTTTATTAAAAACAAAAACCAATATATAACTCGAAAACATTTTTATTAAATAAAAGTTTAAATTAAATGAAGAGTTGCCATAACATGGAGGTGTCAAATGTCTAATGTTTGATATAATTTATATCAAAACATTTATTATTATCTTGATTACTAAAATTGTGTCCAAATTTAGCTTACAAACAATTCAATAAATGTGCTTTATAAATAAATTTTTATTTTTAATAATAAATTATTTTCATTTAAATGCATATTCACACAATTAAAAATAAACATTATTAATATAATCAACAATTTTAATTAAATAACATGTCATGTGATTAATTTTATTTAGTACCGGCATTCATAAATGTAACATGATAAAAACGCAATGATATGAATTTATGTAGGTTTGCAAACACCTTTATCATTTGAATCTTTATTTACATTTGAAGTCATTTCATAACTTTTGCCATCATTTGGTTGATCTTTATCTCCATAAAAATCTTTGAGTCGATTAGAGAATAATATAATAGCAGTGGAGGTAAGCGTCGCTATGAGTGTTAGCGTGAATGCCGTGCCGTGAAGGAGGTGTCGGAATCGGTCGGTGTTGTATAGCCAGCACTGACCCGTCCGACCGCATGTCTCTTGCCATATATCGCAGGCCGCGTCCGTCAGCGCACCGAACACTAACGGCGCCGGTATGAAGGCTTTCCACATATTTAATAAACATTAAAGTTAAATATAATTTCAATTTAATAAATATTCTGTGCGATCAACAAATAATTGATTGTTTATAAGTAAATCATTTCAAATACTTGTATGTAATTGTGTTTACTAAATTATATTCTGAATATTTTAAGTAATTGTAAAATTATCAAGTCAAGAAAGTAAAGTTGCCTTATTATCACAGTATACTGATAGTCAATAAGTTGTGACTACAAATGATAAGGAGGTCTGCAAGTTGTTTGTGTAAAACACATACATCTCATATAAAAATCGTTTTGAGAGTTGCATTTGAATTATATATAAATTGTAGTGATTTGTATCCAAATGTCGTGCATTTTATATAAATTACTTTATTTCTCGACATAAACGCAATAAAAATGATTTGATGTCTGCTATGAACGCAAACACACCATAACTTACCCAATAAGTTGATAACAGAGCCCAAGAGTCCCAACGCAAAGCTCTTGTCCTGGGGTTCGACACATCGCAAGATTATAAGAGTATCGCCGACTCTGGAGGTCGACGACAGCATCTGTTCCGCAGCTGATATACTGATGTACGGCATAAACGATGAACAATCGGACTTACAGTAGCCTTTGGTCACTATCTGTCCACCCGCACCGCCCGTACACTTACAGCCACCAAATTGGGGCACATTATTCGCGTTTAAGCCTATCTCGTGAGTACAGCCCGCATGACAGGGCGAGAAGTAGTTGGACAGACCGTCCGCCCCACACACCGGCTGATACGTACGGGTAGAGCACCCGCAGTCGGTGTTGCACTCACTCACGAGATTCAGCTTATTATCAATAAGTTGTGTTTCAGCCATCAGTGGATTATCACATCCCATGAACCACATGCCGAACATGGAGGCCGAGGATATGTAGTTCAGTGCAACCATATATATGATGAGGTATTTGGGTTTAGGCTGGTATCTGCTGATTATTACTGAGCCCACAATTACACCAAACGCGCCCGTAATCATACCCACAGTACCTGAATATAATGGGAAAGACATTTGATTTGATTATAGATTTGGTGTTAGAAAAGAGAAACGGATAGACCTGTGATGAGACTGGCTTCGGATGAGGTCTTTCTGAATTGACTTTCCAAATATTTGGGTCTAAATATAAAATAGCCCAACCCTGCGTTCACTCCAAACACAGCTGCGATCATAAATAACACCAGAATTGGATTCTTGAATAATTTTAAGGCTTTTTTGGGAAATTCTGTGCACAAAACAAAAGGCAGAGAAAAGAATTTTTATTATAAATTTTAATTTCTTTTTCTGTTGTGTTTTTCGTATTGTTTTGGTTTTTATTGAATTAATCAAAGCGTGAACAGCAATGAAAAGACCTTTGATTTTAGGCACAGATTCCGTTCCCTTGACTGTCATTCCGCGCATTCTTTTGGGAAACAATGCCATCGGAAACGTGAAGATTAGTAGTAAAGTCCCTATAATGAGAAAACCTATCCACCAGGCGCCTACATAGCGAGGGTCAGTTTGGTTGATCTCTGGGTTAACTATATTTCAGTGAGAATTTAATATAAAATTATTATTATTTTATGTTTGACTTTAAAATTAAATAACATTAATAACCAGTACTGTCAATGTCATTTGAATTTTTTCAATGTTTTCATACATAAATAAATTATTATTAAAGTTATGTAAATGTGGTGTTTAATTGATATGTTATCATTTGTTTATACATTAAATTATAAAAATGTGATTTAATGTTGTTTTAAATGTTAACATGATAAATCAATTAATTAAAAAATATACATCTGCTTAATGTATGAGTAATATAGATAAGTATGACTTACATAAAGGATTCTCCCAATACTTGAGACAAAATCCAGCCAAGAAATACCCCAATTGAGGGCCCAGTAGTCTAACGGTATAAGTGATACCCAGAAAGATAGCCGACTGTCCCTTATGGACGTTGTCATCCAAATAGGTAAACCCAGCCGTGAAGAAGGCATTCCCGCCGATGCCGCTGAGAAAGTTTGCCATAAAAAATATGATGACAACCGGAAGGGTATTGGATTGCATGGAGCCTTTGGCACAAGTGGTGTCCACATCTGAACTCTTGCCACAAAACTCGTACTTATCAGTCGTATTGGACGCCGTGTTGTACAACATATGATAGGAGGGGCCGTAAATGAGATACGGGACTGAATTCATGTAACAGGCGATCACCACCACAAACATGCCGAGGGCTATGAGTCGGGGCCGATGCACGTGACTCGCGTAGTATCCGATGATTGAGCTGCAGATTATGGGACTAAAGTTGTCGGCGATTAATATAAGACCAGTTAGTTTGCTGGAAAAGCCAAATCTCTTCTCTATGGTACTCAACACTCCGATGAAATACATGCCAAACGCGCCCTGAAGTATACCCAATATGTTGGACACAATCATATACCAGATGGGAGTCCCGAACCTTTGCATCCACTCTGGTTTCCAAT